TGCCGTTGGCAGTGGGTGGATGGCCAGGGCGCTGAGCATTCTCCGTGTTATCTTGGCTGCTGGTAAATCTGTCACATCCTTTCTCCATTGTCAGCTGAGTTGTCCTTTCGCTGTCATTTTTAAGAGTTCTTGTACAGCTTTGGACGGGAAGCCCTTACCGGTGTGCGATTTGCCATTTCCTTGCCTTCAGCAGGTGGCTTGCTGTCTTTCTTATTAATAATCTTTGAGGCACAGAACATTTAAGATTAGATGATGTCCAGTTTGTTTTCCTGAAGCTTTTGGTGCTGAATCTAAGGGTCTCTTCCCAAGTCTGAAGCTTGAACTCGTGGTTTTCTGGGGACCTCGGCTCTTGTGTTCCAGTCGGGATGTGCTTTGTAGAAAACCCTTCTATTGACATATACCATGCACACAAACACTCACAGAGGAAGATGTAGCCACCTCAGTGGGCTGTTGTTACCCTCCCCCCATGACTTGTCACATCCAGAGTCCCCAGGGCCCCTTCTGGTCACTCCCTCCAGCTGTGTGTCTTATCTCTCTTTTGAAAAATAAAGACAAAGCCCACAAAGCCTTGATGGTCCTGACCCAGCCCCGTGCACAGCGGCTGTGGAACAGAGCTGGCGTTGGTGTCTACTGGCCCTTTATCTTCCAGGACTGGCCTGTGTGACCTCTGGGGGTGGGAACGCCAGCCTCTGGACAGTGTTGCTGAGCCCCGTGGAGGCAGCTCTGACTTGGTGAGCTCGAGCACGGCAGAATGAAACCTGCCCTGCCACCTCCGTCCTCACTGCCTGACGCCCCTGAGGCTGTGACAGCCACGGGGACATCCATCTGGCTGAGGGTCTTCTCTTCTGTGGACCCTTCACTTCTCCAGGGACTCGTCCCTCTGATAACATGCCAGATTGTGAGAGAAAAAGTCTCTCCGCTCCTGGCCTCTAAGGAGCACCATGGGTTCCTCCAGGACACAGTTTGTTCTTTTGAGAATCCTCCGTGGGATACTCTGTGTTCTCTGCTGGCATCACAGTGAGTCTTCTTCTGTCATCCTGATTCATTGTCCCATTTTCACATGCCTATTAAACAATTGGAAACCCATGGCTTGGCTTCAACACACCTAACTTTAATGAGATATCCTTGCTCTGGAGTACTAACGAGGTCCTCGACCAGATTTGCTCACTGTAACATGGCGTCTGGTTCCCTGACTGCCACAACCAGGGCAATTGTGGGTCCAGGTAGGATGAGATCCCTGCCAGCTTCAGTCTGGATAGGAGTTGAGTGACACCAGGACCCCCGACAGGTAGAGGTAGGCGTGAATTCACGTGTAGATGTATAGACGTGTGGTTCTGAGGTGCACTGAGTCAACGGTGACTCGTCGGGACCTGTCAACAGCGGACCTGAACCTTGCTCCAGTTGGTAGCATCCTCAGCATCTCCCTCAGGAACAGTTTCTGTGACTTCATCTTGTTCAGGGTCTTCCTCCTCCTCTGAGCCTCCACCTTTCCCAGCATGACGACTGGATCCAAAGACTGGCCCCTCTTCACAACATGCCTTCAGGATGTGCGGTGAGGTTTCACCATGCTTGCCTCTGAGAGCACTCTGGTTTGTACTTCTCTCAAGGCAGAGTTCCTGGTTTGGCAGGCTAAGGGGTGTCTCGTGCTCTTCTCCAACAGCGTAATTCTAAGGTGTGGATTCTCCCAGTCACCTTTATTCATTGTCCAACTTTCAGATGCAAAGGAGACAATTGAAAATGCCGTGGCTTGGATGCACCTTAGTCTTTACACGGACATCCTTGCTCATTGGGACTTTGGAAAGAAAGGTCCTTGACAGCCAAGTTCCCAACACACCATGTCTTTTGATTTCTTGATTACTATTACCACAGGGTTTTGATCCAAATAAAATGAAATAGTTGAACCTTCAGTCAGTTCTCCATCTATCATGATGTCTGTCACCCTTTGGCCCAGTGGTGAGGGCTTTTATTTTCTTTATGATAGAATCCATTTTGAAGGCAGTAATATTTTATCCTCTGTAGCAGTGGTTTCAAGTCTTCTTTACTTTTTTGTTTGTATTTTAAAGGTAAAATGGATATTCTTTTATTACTCTGTATAAATCAGCCAGCCAAACAGGCACTGTTTCCACAATGCGGCAAAACACAAACCACCTTCCTGAAGTATTCAGTAATGGAGGAGTCAGGGTTCCTAGTAAAACAGCAGGAGGGGTGAGACGTCAGCTCTTGGCAGCTTAACCCCTTTCACCTGAAGGTGTTGAGAGGAAATCCTCCCCCCATCCTGGAACAACAATGAACCTTCATCACACAATTCTGCCTTTTAGTTCCTGTTCTTGAGACTTGATCTAAAGATAGTCATGGCAGCATCACCTCATCCTCTGCAGCCATCAACACCTGCTGTCACGTGGTCAGAGCAACTAGGCCATCTGCGTGAGGAAGCTCAAGGAAACTTCTTGGAGTAAATGGCAACAGTACCCCTTTGCTCCCCAATTTGCTCACAATGCAGACACAATGGGAACCCGGGTATCAAGCCAGAGCTCCAGGGCTCCAACCAGAAGGGAGGGAGTGGAGCTGTTGCCTAGACTGACACTGAGTTATGTACCGTCTTCACACGTCTTCAGGTCTTGTGTTCATGGAGTAACACGGGGATGAAGCTATGGTTGTGGGGTCTCCAGATCGCTGGAAGCATTTTGTTGTCACTGGGCCTGGGGCAGCAGGAGTTCTCATCCAGATTCCTGGAGCTGGTTATTCTAGGCCTAGCTGCATCAAGTGTGACTGCACCAAGCGTGGCTGTCCCGGGCCCCATTGCACCAAGCGTGGCTGTCCCGGGC